TGAGTCTTTGCCTTTTGAGTGCCAGAAAATCGTAAGGGAGGAGCTCTTTGCTACCGCTGTAGAAGAGTCGTAAGTACCTCTTCTGATACCGCTGTGTATGGCCATCAGAACTGCAGCCCTTTCAGGCAGGTTTTCACTTAGATCAAGCCTTCTGTCAAATTATTCTTTCCCTTGGTCTGAGTATGCAATATTTCCTTAGTCCTTTCCCCCTGTTTCTGCTGTCTAAATATCCAAACTAGGGACTGAATATTTTTAAATTGAATACTATAAATCATAGCAAATTATAGTTTGGAAGGGACCTTTGGAGGTTATTGGGTCCAGCCACCTGCTCAAAGATGGTTGACTTCAATGTTACAGGTTTGCTTAGGGTCTTTTCCATTCAAGTTTTGAATATCTCCAAGGATGGAGATAACACAGACTTGCTGGGTAATCTGTTCCAGTGCTTAACTACTCTTGGTGGGAAAATTTTTCCTTTATGTTCAGTAGGAATCTACTATCTTGCAGTTGGGGCTTGTAGCCTATCATCCTTTGTTGTGTGCCTCTGGGAAGTGTCTGTCTGTCTTCTCCAACTGCTTTTAGGTAGCCTGAAGGGTTCAGGTTACCCTCCAATTAGTAGCTTGTGTTTGCAGGTGATATTTGCATTCTATCAGTGGAGGTACTGAAAGCACTGCGGGTAAAGAAAATACCTGTAAATCACAAGAGAACAATAGAAGAAGTGACTAACATTAAATTGATGAAAATTGCTCATGTACAAAGTTATCAAGATGATGTTTCTAAATAACATCCTTGTGGGAGGATCACTAATATCTTCCCTACCCACTAATATCTTCCCTTACCATGTCTCACAGGCTGGACATTATAAGAGTCTCTGTCTTTAAATAAAGTTTATTCAAAGCTTAAAAGAGGATTTATATCCTACATTGGGAAAATGCAGCCTTTGAAGACTTCCTAAAAACAGTTCAGACTGAAGGGCTTTGTTTTTGCATGCATTTCAAATGCCAGAGTGTGTGGTATCTGAGAACCAAGAGGAGAAAGTCCATTCATATTACATCTTCTGCTACTTGTGCTGCCAAACCTGAGCTAGGAGATGCCACCACCACTTCTCCCATACCAAATTTTCCTCCTGGAATTACTAGTTGCTTAAAATAGGTATTATAAAACTGATACAAACCACAAGAAATGTATCTGTGCATGCTAGAGAGAATGCATGTGCGTGTGTGTGTGATTTTGGGAGCGTGGGAGAGAGAGAAATAGAATTATTACTGTCTTCTCCCAGAAGAGCCCATGTCTCATGACAGGCTGAAGGACATTTGATTTGGTGAGTTACTTTGACCTTTAGGGTAGGAAGCAGCCCTCTGGCACAGCTCCGATAGACACATAGCTTCTAGTATACATTGTGTCCTGAGTTCTCTGTGCATGTCTTGTTTTCTGCTTATAGTGCCCTTCATCAAAGTATTCTGAGGAGATTTTACCAAATGATGTAGAGTAATGACACAGACTGATTAGCTGTTTGGCCATGTGAGTTTCACAATGCTTGCAACGAAATAGCTACCAGCACCTCTCTTCTCTAGATGCTTCACTGGAAACTAGAAAGATCTTTTTAAAAAATTATCTCTGTTGCCTTCATGATTTGTCATGCAAGCATTACATAGTTACTCAAACATAGTAACTTTGGTAAAAGGCTACATAGGGTTTTTTTACTGTGGACAGCATGCTACTAAGAAGCAGCAGAGATGGTAATTATAAGCTGCAATATTTAACAACACTCCAGGAAACTTCCAGTCTGGCAGTACTGCTAAATAATGTTTATCCCATAATCTCTCATTGTAGGACTGTATGAGTTAAGGAAATGTGGTTTGTTTGGGTTTTTTTTTTTTTATGGTTTAGGGGTTTTTTTCCCCTTTAAGTTTTTATGTCATGAGCTGAATCCTGGTCAACATCCCCAAGGATAATTTATCTCCCTGTCTACTCAGGTTCCCAAGCAAGCGTGGTCCGGCACTGCGTTGGGCAGGAGTATCGTGATTTTCTGTAGCTGCTTCTTTTGAGAGGGAAGAGAAAAGCCTGACTCGTTATGAGAGGGACTTTTTGATAAGCTTGCATGGAACACAATTTGATAGCCTGAGTCAGGAGAAAGAATCACCGTTTCAATTTTAGTTATGTGCGTGGTTATAGGGACATGTGGCAACTTCATCTGCAAAAAAATAGACAGTAGAAATAGGAAATGAGACCAGCTGCAACATTTTACCCACGACGACTTGTTTAGCCTGTAGAAAAATAGAACAAGGTTAATACTAACCTGTGTCATCATTGTCGTCATCGTTCCCCATCCTCACGCAGCTCACAGCACACACATACAGTGTCTGCCATAATCTCCTTTTCTAATTGTAGCTGTATTCCAATAATCCCTTTTCCTCCTTATAGCTGCTTGCATTGTAGTACCTAACCTTTTTTCCCCTCTTCCTCCTACGCTGGTGGTCTCAGAAAAATAGAAATTGTCGAATGTAAGTAAAAGTACAACTCTTTGAGACAGAAGCAGCAAAAGAAAAGTTGCCCCATGCGTGCAAGAACCTGTGTCTATGACATCACCAGCTGAACTCTGCCTAAGCAGCCCCCCTGCCTTGGGAGTCAGTGCAGGATTTCCATGGTGGTGTGGGTGACTTCTGTTTTTTCCTTCAAGACCTGCTCAGCTGACCTTTTACATATGCAGGGTCAGTTTTGGTTTGGTCTAAAATAATCACAGTTTTAGTATCTTACTTTACCTGATATTTTAGATAAGTTTTATGTTATAATACAGATATTTATCTCATAATAGGGATTTCTATCCTATGAAAGGGGTAGGAAAATTAGTTAAAGTGACGTGTTTACAACAGTAAAAATTAGTATTGCTGACCCAGGCAAACAAATTTAGTCTTGGCTTCACTGCCAAAACAGTGAAGGAAGTGATTGCTGAAGTATAGTTTCTTCCTTCTCCCACCTACCAAAAGAATATATTCCTTTCTGGGTTAGTTTTCTTTACCTTGAGCAGAAAGACTAACAGATATCCAGCTCTGTAAAGAAAAGAGAAGGTGGTCCATCTATAAGAAACAAACTTTTAATACTAGATAGTGAAGAAAAATAGTTTGAAGAATATCATATGTGTAATTTATTTCACAATTGCTTTGTCACTTGTCAGACAGTTTCAGTTCCCTGAAATGCAAGTGCATTAAATTAACCAGAATTGTCATCATCCATTCGGTTTGATTAAACACCTCAGTGATGTGGCAAATTTAAAACAATAGAGACCCTGGAAAGATAATATCATTGTAAAAAAAAAGTAACTAGAAAAAGTCAATGGAGAAGACAGACCAGCATGGCTAAAGACAGTAAATTAAATCCTGCTTGGGAATCTGACCCTAATTCAGCAAAGCGCTTAATCTCATCATTTAAGCATATGAGTTCTTCCCTCTCTAAGCATGCATATTGTCCCACTGAAGTAAGGGTGAGATTAAGTAAGTTCCAAGATTGTTACCTTAGTGCTCAGCATCTATTAGACCAGAGCCTTCATTGACCTGATGGAGGACACATCTTGCTACAAGACTTATGTATTGAATGGTATTTGTGTAGGCATTCATGTGGTGCAAGTTCAGTGCAACCCAGCAGTTCCAAAGGAAGTCAAAAAATTATTGTTACATTTGAGTACAAAGGGCTCTAAGGTGCAAGTCTTTTTGTAATTGCAGCACAGAAAAAATGTAGAGGTATAGAAGAACAGATTTAAAAAATCATATACAAAAGTATCTGATGTCTGGAATTCTGCAGTTGAAAGGTTTTATTGATAAATTATGCCTTCGACTTGAATAGACTTTAAAATCTGTAGTCAAAAGGAATTACTGTTTTGTGCTACATTGGTGGGTATTTCTTTTCATATGAAGAGCTACTGGATGATACAGTCTAAAGCGTACAATTTGTGTCACTGTTTTATTGGAAGCAGCTGCTCCTTTACAGAGGCAATGGCTCTTCAATCAATGAATATTGTTAGGTGCATTACGGATAGTTGAAGTACCGATCTCACCTGTGCGGGTATGTAACTGCTACAGAGTTAGTCATTAAAGTTACGTTGTTGCTTCTTCCTGGGGAAAAATTGTAAGTGAGAAAAACGAACCTATGAAATGTTGCAGGTCTAAACTAATGTGCTGGTAATGTTTTCTCACCAGTTGGTTTAGAGAGCGAGGCCAAACCTCTGCTTGCTCTGTGTACGGGACAGGACAGGGGTTTGCGGGAGTCTAACTAGACCTTAGACAGGAGAAAGGGTTGTCCAGAGTAGACTGTGGCTCTACATCTGGAATGAGAAGCTGACGGAGTTGATGCTACAAGGGCTGTCATTAGTCTTACACCCATGGCCCACCTTGTTTCGGTGGGAGATGAGACCTTTCTTTCCACAGTGCTTTCATCACCTTCCATGATGCCCATCCCTTCTGTATAACATCCTTCTACACTAGCAATTAAGTGCTGCTTCGCAAAGACAGCAGCTTTCCCCTTGGAAGATTTTCTCGTTGGGGGAAATTCTCTGCCACCTGTCTTCTGATGCCTTAAATGCATTTTATATTGTATGCAGCTTTTGTACCTGAGAACCGATGGTGTAATAATCTGCATTGCTGGTGAATTGCACATGATGAATACAAGAAACAATTAGTGTGCCCCACAGAACGTACCTTCACAGCAAATTTATTGCACTACAAGCTACTTCTGTTTCAGTGAAAAGCAATTTGTATATAGGGAAACAAAGAAATAGACTTCTGTACTTGTGTTTGGGTAAGATGAATTAAATGCAGAAAGTAGTGAAAAGTATTTGGCAAAAGTTGCTCTATGTGTTTGTGTAAATGGTAGACATAAGGACAAATTTGTGATTTGCCAGTTTAATAGGAGCTCATTTGCCTACAAATACGAAAACTACTGAAAACTAAATCCAGGTGGCTACTCCAACACTTCTTAATTCCATTTTATATTCCCCTGATGTTTTGCAGCTGTGCAATGGTGGATCTGTGACTGATCTTGTGAAAGGATTTCTGAAGAGAGGTGAAAGGATGAATGAACTTATAATTGCTTACATTTTACACGAAGCTCTCATGGTAAGCTCTCAGTAAAAGAACAGTCAATATTCAGCTCATAATATTTTCTCTGAATGAATGAAGATCATGTCCCCACTAACAGCTCGCTATCTTGTATTATAGCAGTGTTTAATGAAATCAAGGTACTGTGCAATTCAGACGGTTCTTTTTGAATAAGCAAGGTAAAGAACAATTAATCTGTTTCATTATTAAGAGAATGAAAAGTGATTTCTGACCATTGATTAATTTCCTTAGTAAATACAGTTTTGCATCAAAATCACTTTTGAGAAATAGCAGAAATATAATACTGTTCAACTTCTTATGTCTGGATGCAAAATATTTTTATAGCAATATGATCAACACATCTAGTGAATTCAAACACTGCTACAAGAATATATTTTTTTGGCTAATCAGGATCAAGTGTCTTTATTTTTCTTTTTTTTTTTTTAAGCTGGAATTTGACTTTCTGCAGTGGAGTTTAGGCCTTTTTTAGGCAGTTTTCTTTGAGTTATAATGTAGATTTATAGTGCTTTTTTTCTGCTTTTATCTGAAAATTTCTAATTGACATAAAGTGGGGCAGTTAAAAAGTATCTATTCCTCATGGTGTGCCAAGTATTTTTCTAGCAAGAATGACATCTCCATGGTTTTGGATTAAAAAAAAATCTGGTTTAAGTTTTTTCTGCTACCTTTTTGTTTCTACAAATGTAATACAGAGGACAGAGCTGATAGTCAATAGTTCACGTTTACATCTCACCTTCCAGGGACTTCAGCATTTGCATGAAAACAAAACTATCCACCGTGATATTAAGGGAAATAATATCCTTTTGACCACTGAAGGAGGAGTCAAACTTGTGGATTTTGGTATGTTACATTTACATATATATATATA